CGCAGGCTGGAAAGGTAAAAAGACCTTTCCCCAAATCTTCGTTCGCGAAGATGGGCCATTATTATGTATCGTGATTATTAACTGGGTGCTGTAAATTATTAGGAGGAATCAACTGCCTGAGCTTCTCCTTCCCAAATTTTGGAGTACTTAGATAAACCATATTTATGTGTACATGCCACAGGCACATATTTAACAGAACAGGGAGCAACAAACGTGTCCTCCCTCTCCTTTTAGCTTCTATGTCCCTTAGAGTTGGACCTACCTGAATTCCCATTGTGGTCCAGCATGACAGAGCCTCCAGCAGCTCAGCCACAGCTGCCAGAGGAGCTGGGAAGGCAAGTGATGCTCGGCCTCTGACATCAGTAAAAAACAATCAGCACATTGTGTTGAGGCGCTGGCCCTTGTCTCATGATCTTTCTATTTTTCAGTGTTACAGTCACCAACATAAATCAGTTTGAACCAATTCAAACCAGTTAAAATGTTTTCACCTATTCTACCAAATCATTACTGGACTGGTCTAAAAGGGAATCAGATCTGTTTCAGTCATAGCAGAGCCTGTCACAGATACTAATGGTACTACACATGTAATGGTTTGACTTCTTTCTTATGACCCTCCATCCATGGTGGAAACCTGGCCTGACCAAATTACAAGCTGAATATTCAGGTAACTGACAAGTCATCCACAGTGATCCTTTTAAGGAGTGTCAAAGCTAGCACAGGTAATGCCTTTGGAAGTCAAAAGTCATAGTATTGACTGCAGTTGAACACACTCAGGATCTGCAAAGAAGCCCGAAACACTAAGTGTCCAAATTGCATTAAAGAGCAGTTGGAACAGCTGAATGTCAAATCCTCTATTTCTTGGAGAGTCTCTGTTTTTAAGGGGTCTCTAGGCATTAGTATGAAATTGCTGTTAGTATTTGCACTATTGCTACATAAGGCTGAAGTTTTAGGAGAGCGTTAGGTTGCCCTTTACAATAAGTCCTTAATTAAGGAAAATAGCATATACCAAAGAACATCAGATAGTAAAAATAACAGCTGATGTACTTTTCACTGTAGTCCTCTCGCTTTCGAATATTTAGTTTTGCTATGGTCTTAGTTATGTAACACCTTAATTTTGTATTTTTCACAGAAATGTAACCTGGAATAATTTAGCTATCCCAGACACCCACTGTTCCAGAGAGCTAGAAGAAGGTTACCAGTGCCCACCGGGATTTAAATGCATGGACCTTGAAGATCTGGGACTAAGCAGGCAAGAGCTGGGCTACAGTGGCTTTAATGAGATAGGTCTGTCTTACTGGTAAAATCAATTTCAGTATCCATTTAAAAATGTTTTTAAGATGAATAGAACAGATAGTTCATGTTTGTGCTGAAAAGACATCAAGTGCAATCAGTATTCTGCTCAAGTAGAGCACATGCCAGAAAGAGAAGCTTGCTGTTTGCTTTGCAGTTATGATACATTTTTACATTGCCTGGGATCCCAGGATTTAAATAACTTTAAAACAATGTCTTCATAAGGAGTCAACTGTTGATTATCACCAGTATACAAATGTGCTGACTAATTTCTGTATTTTATTTATGATTCATTTAAGACTATATAATTCACCCTGTTTGTCTGATTTTAGTAATAATTCCCATGAAAAAAAAACCACTTAGAATTACTTTGATAATCATCTTGTTACTAAGAAGAGGAGTGAGAAAGTGATATCATGTGTATCTGTGCCAATCTTGATCCAGACTGTGTTAGTCAGAACGTCACCCAGAAAAACGATTGAGAGTCAGGAAGATTTTGCAATACAGGTGCAATTTGTGTTCTGTGAAAAACCCTGAAGAGTCACTAGGAGAATATGATCTCTGATGGATGCAATGTGTCATGCTATCCCCATGGGGAAATGAATGTAGAACAAAAAATCAGGAAAGGTGGCAAGAGGATGGGCAGCTGTGGCAAGATCCACATCCCAATGGAAAATATGCAGTTACTCGGTCAGAACATTTTGGTTATCTCACATTTATTTGACAGACAAAGGTCCAATAGGAGCCTGCAGCTGTAAATTTTTGTTTCTGGCCAGGTAGGGAAGTCTCTTCAAATGATAGAGCATACGCACAGGCTGCATTCCTTCTGATGCATCTCTTTGACTTTGATAAGCTTTTTTTTTTCACTTTTCCTGGCATGGGCTCCAGACTGTTGTCTTGTCCCCAGCTGAATTCAAAGGTAGTCAAAAGGTTTAATGACTGAATTACTGTAATCCAGAATGGTTTTTTGAGTATTGAAAGCCTTTACAGCTGAAATTACTTCAGTTGGTTCCCAGGTTGCTGAATATACAGAATGAGCCAGAGAGTTGCAAGAAATAGTTTCAGAATCCTGCTACAAGAAGTACTCTGTGATACCAAAGAAACTGCCATTTGTGTCCTTTCTTTTTTCTTGTGAGAAAGGGAGGAAAACCTGATTTCAACCAAGCACTGTTCTGTTTCCTCTGGGAGTCAGAAGCATACCAGTTGTACAAGTACTGTTAGCTGAATAGCACTACTGATAGTATCAAATTTTATATAAATTTTTTCTTCAGTAGATATCAAAGGATAACTCTGTCGGGTCTCTCAGTGAACCTTCAGAGTTATTGCCATGCCTGGATGAACATGGGCTGAGTTCACAGTAGAACCTAAAACCTGCACATGAGTTCTCAAGTTCAAGATGGTTTGACAGGAGAGCATAAGATAGATGTATCCTCAGTGGAATTAGGCCTCAGATTGAAATCACCCTCCTTATCTTGACATGTGAAATTATTTGTGACATTGAAGGTTGTTATTCTAGCTGCCTACCTAGTCACCCGCAAAAAGCAGTTGCAATGCCTTAGACAAGCTTAAATTGGTAGATGACTTGAATGAGGTCCAGAGTGCTTAATAAAGGAAGTCAGTATGTTTTTAATGATGGGGGCAGGTTGGCAAAGACAGGTGAAATAGTTTTTCCATGCCTGCGATGCTGGGTAAAAAAACTGAAACTCTGGTCTCCTGAGTCACGGTCCTATACCTTATCAATATGTCTTTTTGAGTGTTGCATTTTAAAGGTCAGAGATTACTAGTAGACTTAGGAGACTTGTCACTGATAAATTGTTTTTGTCTAGAAATAGGTAAACAGGATATAGCACCTTTCAGTACAGTAGCCAGCAGTAAATTGAATATCAATTGAAAGCTGATTACTAAACTTTAAAATGCTGGGTAAGACACAAGCTTTGCTACAAAATGTTAAATATGCTTCCTCAAATCAGGAGTGTTATAAAACAGGATTATAACCAGTGAGTTTATCAATATTTCATAAATATCCATTTTGTGATGCACCTTTATATGTAATTAACAGGTAAGTAATGAAGTCTTCTCTATGCAATTATACTGTTTTATTGTATAAATTCACTGATTTTTACTTGAAGATGTTATGATACAGCCTATCCTGTTGGATCCTGAAATCTATCATTATGCAAAACACAAGAGATAGCAGTTTGGCCGCTATTGTAAAATTAGTAATACTTAGTTTGCAGCATATAAGTACAAGCCATGAACATTTGAATTTGATAATTTCTGTTATTTTTCTTCTCTATAAAGAAAAAAGGAGGGATTTTTACAATTTTATTGCTGGGTGAAAACCAAGTTGTCCTAATCAAATAAAAGCTAATAGAGATTTTAATACTGAGGGCTATGCCAATTAGGTAGTTTCATATCTGGAAAATACCTTGATTTTAGCCATACCCTGCTCCCACTTTTATAAATGGCTTTGGCTTTAAAAGGATGGAAATTGGAAAGATAATAGTGTAAGTTTTAATACTTATTAAAAAAAAAATTATTTCTTTCCTAAATTTTCTATTTTTAGTTTTGAGGTGTTCTGTTTATCTATTTTATGTATGCTTCCATGCAAGTATGTATGTATTGCATAAGGAAGAACATAGTTATAGACTGATAAATGGGGCTTGAATTCATCATGTCAAGACAATCTAGGCCATCTCCTCCTGATGAAAAGCGGCTTCATAATCTTTTGAGGCACCCTATTCTGCTGATTCATTGTCTGTACTCTTAGGAAGATTTTCCTAAAGGATAACCTGAATCTTTCTTCTTTATGCAATTTAAGGTCATAATTTCTCACCTTATTCACTATTGCCATAGACAAAACCTTAGAAAAAAAGCTTTTTGCATCTTTCCTTATGTATCCATATAGCTCTAAATGCTTCAGTCTTTTGCTATTATATTTTATACCTGAAATTGTTCTTACTGTCCTTCTCTAGACCTTCTGTGGCTGATTCACCACTTTGTTGAAGTGCAGTACTGTCAGAATACCCCAGTAGAGCCATTACTTTATGTGTTTTTAAGCTCTGTTACAGTTTCTACATCCCAGTGAGATGTTTTCCATTTTCAGAACAACATGCTGAGGGTGATTCATGTTTTTCTGATTTATTACAGCCCTTGCGTCCTGTTGAAAGAGCTGCCATTGCTGTTTCCCATCCTTTATTTGTTTACTTATTTCTTTTTAAATGTAAACCCTTACATTTGTCTCTGTTGAACAGCATACTTTCTTTTGTTTTTCCAGACTATTTCTTCAATTTACAAGATCTGTAATTTTAATTCTTTCCTCCTGAATACTTTCTGTGCCTTTCCACTTACTTGTATCTGAAATTAGATGAGCGTAATTTATTTTCTATCAACCTGGTCAAGAGTGAAAAAATAAATAGAAACAAACCAAGATCAGACTCTGGAACCTTGTTTGATGAGTCTTACTCTTCTGACAAAGTTTCATTAATAGCTGTTCATAAGTACACCTAAGAAATGGTTTTACACCCATCAAAGAGCAGCATCACCTAGCCATATTCCTGTTGTCGTGGTGAGACAATGTTAAAAGCCTTTTAAAATCAAGATGTAGACCATCAAGTGTTTCCTCTCGTTTCTTTACAAAACCTGCCTCCATTCTGCATTTGTACGGCAGTGATAGAATAAGATTTGTTCTCCGGTTCTCCATATGTTCTCCAGTGCCTGTACCCTTTAATATATATTAATATATTGAGACTTACACCTGATGTTTGTGAAGATCATTTTTCAAACATGGGCCACATCAGCATATATCTACAGCTAATGCCTCTGTTCTTCAGTGTACATATTTCTAGATTGCATGTAGGATGAAATAAACATTAATTAGTATTGCCAACTTTATCAATGTAATCTCTAAAGAGAGTGAAGTTACTAAAAGCTGGGACAGTTCTGTCTGGCAATATCTCTGGAAAAGTTATAAGCAAAAGTCACAAAGGTCTATCTCATAAGTGTTTGTGAAACTGAAGAATTAATGAAACAGAAACCAATTAGCTAAGGTCCCAGTACCTCAAATCCCTTTCTCTGTGAAGTTCTGAAATGGAAGGAAGGAATAGTAAGGAAAGAACAAGATGCCCATCTAGGTAAACTGACTTCAGCTGTTTCAGGTTACAGGTGATGAGAAGCTACAGGAAGTTACTGCTTTCTCCTAGAAAGTTGCTCACGAACTCAGTAGAAACCCAAGTACTCTTTCCAACAGTTTGACACAGAACTTGTCTTCTTAAGTATGTGTTGTTCTTACCCAATGTAAGCCTTAATATTAAGTTACCTCTTTTATCCATAAGGATGCCTGAAAGACTTTTTGAACACTAGCTATGGGGCTGAGTGGGAGTAAGAAAAAGTGTATGAATGAAAGGCTTGGCTGGCTGTGTGGATGTGGGTGGCAATATTGACTATACCTGTATGGTACTGTCAAGCTCTTTGCTTTCTCAGACTTCTTAGCTGGTTTCAATTCAGACTTCTATAAAAAATTAGAACAGCCTTCAGCCTTGTCTCCCACTGAGAGCATCAGGTACATTCACAGATGGCCTGTTTCTTCCTTCTGATTTTATTTTCTTCTTCTCTGTATTTTTCCTAGCTGTGTTTAATTTCATAGGGTATAGCTGGTAGCATGACAGTATTATGAAGCATGTAAAAAAGGTTGAGCTAAATATTGAGAAAAATTGCTTTTGTTTTGTGAACAAATAGTAATTGTACAAATTATTAGTCATGTGATTGTATTTGTTTAAGTATTTGCATCTGATATACCTAAAAAGCATAAATATAACTGTTGAATTAAATAAGAGTATGCAAATCTTGGCAATTGGAAGGCTGCGACAAGTACTTCTGCCTTATATTTCACTGTTTATCTGAATGTGCATCTACTTTAAGTCACTACTTAACATGGCATTAATTGCTATTGGGGGCACACTAAAAGTGTTGGCAGAGCTGTCTATGTGGGTACT